TATCGATTATATTTAGATGGATAGAAAACTGTATTGCCGAGGAAATTAACCCTATCGTCGAACTCGAGGAGTCTCTCCGCAATGGAATAGTCCTTGCCAAATTAGCCCGAGCCTTTGAGCCATCCGTCGTTAAACGGATATTTATGTCACCAAAATTACAATTTCGTCACTCTGATAATATTAATTATTTCTTTGCGGCTATAAGGAAGCTTGGATTGCCTAGTGTGAGTCTTATTTTATGTGCTAGTTTTATAATGAGGCGAACTGTCATTGTAACAATTCGACTATGGTGTGATCATTGTTGTCGCAGGTTTTTTGGTTTGAATTGACAGATTTATATGAAAAGAAGAATATTCCAAAAGTAATTTATTGTATACACGCTCTGAGGTTTGTTACGTCGATATATACTTTGACATTTTTGAAGTTCTGCCTTACGTTTATATTTTATCGTTGATACTATCGATCAATACATATATTCAGTTATTTGTTATCTCGAAGAGGCTTGACGGCGCGAATTAGGAATCTAGTGGGGAAGCTGGAATTCAGTGGTATGATTGAGTATTAAGTCGAATTTTCATTTACATACGTAGCAGTAGTTATCAACACTAAATGTCTTATTACTAAATAGCCGAACAACTAAATATTACACAAAGAAGTCTCGACGCAGCTGGGGTTATTATGCCAAGTTTTGCTAACGTAGGCATGGTCTTAGCAGCTGAGTTGAACGAACCACTAGTAGAAATAGAAGAACCTCAAGAGTCTGAGGAGGAGAGTAAGTTTTATGATCACAACAATTATTACCACAAAATTTGTTTGGTTTTTTCTTTATATTTTGCTGATTCCATAATTTGTATTAGAACAAGCCAGATATTGGGAAGAGAATCTGGAAAGGGTAATCAAGTGCCAAGCAGCTGTTCGAACATACCTAGCCAGAAGCAAATTCCTAGAACGAAAAGCGTTATACAACGCAGCTCTACCATTCATAATCCGTCTCCAAGCACAGAGTAGAGGTTGGCTAGTTAGGCAAGAATGGAAAGCACGTGTTAAACAGCTAGAAGAGCTTGAGAAATGGTTGACTAAGGTAATTGGGATCTTGGGCAGTGATACAATGTAATTGTTCGTACGCACATTCTGACCTTAACTTATAAATAGTTGCAAGCACAATGCCGTGGTGCGCTGGCACGTAGCAGATTTAATGACAAGATGGAATATTTTCGTAAAAATCTTGATAAAATCGTCAAGATTCAAAGTTTCTACCGCGCTAAACAAGCAGAAGATGCATACCGCAGTTTGAGTGAGTATTGTGGTGATTGAACAGCATTTTTTCAGTGAAATGACTTCTTAGATAAAACTAATTTCTGAATCTATACAATCAGCCATGGGTAACAATCCTCCCGTTGGGACTATCAAGAACTTCATTCATCTCTTGAATGATAGTGATTTTGACTTTGAAGAAGAAATTGGTAGGTGAACTGAATTATAGCGCTGATACTATTAGCCTCAATTGTGAAATCATTATCTTATTATTTCATTTCTTTGATAGAGCTCGAACGCCTTCGTCAGTTGGTTGTTCAAAAAATTCGAGAAAACAATAAGCTTGATGAGCTTCTTAATCAACTTGACATAAAGATAGCCCTTCTGGTCAAAAATTCCATAACTCTGGATGAAGTAATTGCAGTAGCTAATTCCAAGAAACAGCTTCGTCGATTATCCCAACTGAACTCCCAATATGGTCCATACACTCTTAAAGCTCTCGATAAAGAATCACGGCGTCGAGTTGAGTCGTACCAGCAAATGTTTTATTTGTTACAGACACAACCCGCATACTTGGCGAGACTATTTTTTGTCATGAACAAAACGAGAGTGTCGGAAAAGATAAAGAAAATAATCGAAGGAGTAGTATTGACGTTGTTTGGTTATGCGCAGAATGCGAGGGAAGAATATTTGTTGTTAAAGCTGTTTCAAAGAAGTATTATGGAAGAGTTGGAAAGCGTTGACAGTCTGCAAGAGTTTTTAAGGGGAAATTTTATGTTCATGAAATTGGTGGTTTATTATAATCGGTGAGTGTCACTTGGAGTGTAGAGCGATTGAATTTACTGTAACGTTCGCTTATTAATGTGCTATTTAATGATCCTTTTCTTGTTGGAAAGTGGTGCAAAGGAGCGTAAATTCTTGCGAGATCTGCTTGTCCCATTGGTAAAACACGTGATGGATGATGACTATATGGATCTAGAGACTGATCCTTTAGCGGTAGGGGGAAAAGGAAAATTTTTTGAATCTTCCGAACTTCAGAGTTGTCTTGAGCGCTTACTATTATTCGATACTGTCTCCAGATCTATCGTACATTGACGAACGCTGAAGAAATTCGCACTGGTCAACCATCTTCTCGTCCATCTGACATAACTCAACAAGACGCCCTCAACGATCCTGAGACACGAACAGTATTTATTCATCACTTACAACGGCTTCGTAAAGAAACAGAGACATTCCTGAACGCGATTACTGCGTCTCTCAGTAAGATGCCGTATGGCATTCGGTATATCGCTCGCGAGTTAAAAAGAACTTTGATGAAGAAGTTTCCACAGGAAGATGAAGTGGCAGTAATGAAAGTAGTTGGACATTTAGTATATTATCGTTATTTGAATCCAGCGATTGTGTAAGTGTTAGCTTTATTATAAAATAAGAGTAGATGGACGAGATGAACTAATAACGATGAATAATTACGTCTGCAGAGCACCGGAAGGGTTTGATGTGATTGAGACTATTGTCAGTCCGATGCAACGTAAAAACCTTGCAGAGGTTAGTAGATTGCAGTTTACTATGACTATGTAGAATGGCATTTAATTTAGTCAGTATTCGCATCAATAATATTCTCATCGCTTATTAATTTTTAGATTTCCAAAATGCTTAATCAAATATCCGTAGGCCGATTATTCACCGATGATAACATATATTTACAACCCCTTAATGAGTATGTTTCGTATGCAACGGAACGATTCTCCCGGTTCTTCAATGCAGGTAATTTCACTACAATCAGTATCACTGATCTTTGATTTATATAGGATCTTTGTATTAACATCAATACTATTTTGGAAATCCAGTAACCGAAACAACCGATCCAGAAGCCTTTTTTGATATCGATGAATTCGAAGACTTAACAAGAACTCACAAGCCAATTATATATATTACTCCTTACGAAATCTTCTCTACCCACAAACTGTTGGTGGAGCGGCTCGACGTAATTGCTCCGCAACATAACGATCCGTTGCGGCAAATATTTGATGAACTATCTGTCCCACCTGTTGAAGAAATAGACAATACTTCTAATGCTGGAGAAATAAGTCTCACTCTTACTAGTTGCATTGCTGCTAATACAATAGAAGAACCGGATGCAGAGATTAATCATTTATATATGGAGACCAAACGATACATTTTATCGATAATACGAATTCAGAATGGGCAGAATCTACTAGAAATTCTCGTGAAGCCTGTGAGTCCAGAAGACGAAGAAGCATATAAAAAACTCTGCGCGTCTGATCGTGTAGATAAACCGGCAAAACGACAGCCACCAACAGATGGCCAGATGATAGACATTTCTGCTATTAAATTTGCAGAGCTAAAGAAATTAACATTACGAAACGTCTTAAAACTAGAGGCTGAGAACAAGTTGTGGAGAAGTAACAACTATCAGGATTTGCTAAACAGCATTGCGGTGGATATAAGGAATAAACATCGAAGGAGAGTGCAGCGTCAGAAAGAACTAAGGCAAATTAAATTGTCACTAACACATTTGGACGAAAAGCGAGCATATTTGGATGAGCAGACCAAGAGCTACAACGATTATATTGACGCGTGTCTACAAAACATGTCAAGCAAAAAAGGGTACGATCTCGCACAACCTCAAAAAATGTTATTGCTGCATAAATTCCTAATCATTCTTCTTTATATAGGAAAAAACGGCTTATTCTGCCTTTTACTCGACAATATTATCATATACGTGATCTTCAAAAATCTGGGAAGGTACCCAAGTTTGGATCATACAAATACACTGCTCAACGTCTGCATGAAAAAGGGGTCCTCATTTCAGTTGATTCTTTCCCGAGCAAACAATTCGATAAACTCAGTTTCACCATTTCCTCGGACGAACTTGGTATCTTTACCATAGAAGCCAAATTTGGGGGAGTTCCTGTTCCTGGGTTTGGGAACGTTGAATTGAGATTGGAAGACTTATTACAGAGTCGGTTTAATAATGTTCAGGTGATGACCTTATTTAGTGGTGCAGCAAAGGTTAACGCAAATTTGTTGATATTCCTGATAAACAAGAAATTTTTTGTGTAGATCTATTTGTATAATATATAGTCTACTTATTTTTATTGATAGTTGTATATTATGGATTTAATAGTTACGAGAATTAAGATTTATCGGGTGTTTTAATAATGAAAAGAGTTTGTTCAAGTAGACAATCGTTCCGAAAGTCACCTCTTATTTTATCAGTCAATCAAAAAGAAACTCGACTGTTTTATGTAACTGGTATCTTATAATCTGGCATGCCATTGAAATTTCGCAAGCCATTAATGGCGATTATCATATATCCATTGTGTTGGAGCATCAAGGTCTACATTCAGTAAGAGACAAATACGCACCATTCCTATACGCAATCTTCGAGACATACAGTGTGCGAGGAAACAATAATCGATTAGCAAACACAGGCTGATATGACAGACCTAGCTAGCCCTTATATTCCGAAAACATGTCGCGAGCCTAGCAGTGTCCTAATCGGTCTTCTCATTGTCTTTGAGACCTAAGATTATTGGTAATAAACGAGTGTTAGTTAGGTGATCAAAGGAAATAAATATAAATTTGGTGCTTGTATTTCAGAAAAGTTATTTACAGTCTGTTTTAAAAAAGTATATGATAATAGTCTAATAGAACAATAAGATACCAGCTACAAGATATCTCCTGCATCCATAACAATAATACCTTGATTCCTCCTTTTGCATCTACAAGATTGTTGTGACGGTAGAATAGCAGCCCATTACAACAATCAGAGCCTGAACGAGACCCCATAGAAACGGAACCCACGTTGACATTGGAAACTTGCCCGCCCCATAGAGTGCTGCAAGGACGCCACCTATCTCAACCGGAATAGAATCGCATCAAACACACACAGGATAACACGCACGGAACAAGCATTTTACTCTTATTCATATATTTTATTCACCTACTATACTTCCGCTAAGTGATCCAGTTAGCAATGCTGTGACCACGAACGCAACAGGAATCATATAAGACCACTTGTATCGCCAAGAAACTACCAATGCCCATAAGCCTGCTACACCATATATCACTTCAAAAAAGATTATAGTCCAGTAAAGCGTAAACCTTATCATGTCTATAAAAAAGTATCAAAAAACATTAATCGAATATGCGAATATAGGTACAGTCTACAAAACACAAGACTACATTACAAACCGTTTGGAGACCAAAGGTTCACTTTACTCTCACTGAGTGGCCAATATAATGAAGGCCAACTCGGCGAGTCTGGTTCGACAGCAGCAAGGAAAACAAGCGGTTGCCACTCTGAAGACATAACTCGTCAATAAATTAGAACATAGTCTCGATGAGAATTTATGACATTTCTTATGCAGTTCAATATAACTAGGAACACAAAACCAAAAAAGTCGTTCTGTTACACAAAAACAAAAATAATAAGCAATAGTAATAGTAATAGGAATATCTACAGTTTACGTGTATTCAACCGGAAAGAGTGAAAGAAAGGTTAATATTAATATGTTAACCAGAAATATCAAAATCAAACCGTGGTTTAATTTCGAATTATTTACTATACAAAGATCGCGTTTCCCTAACTACAGTCATTGTTAGTATTAGGAACTAAGACAATGGGAATCATCAAATTCTTCGCTTTGCAGTCATAAATTATTTTAATTGGACAATGAACTAACTCGTCAATGTAAAATCTTTTAGATGTTGGGGTAACACCTGATGAGATAAACAATCTATTACTATATTAATATAGACTACGATTTTATCGTTTTAGAAGCACATCTTCTACTTTCTCATAGAAGTGTGTATTAAACCTTTCTCTATAGTTTCACTCTCTAATAAGGCGATGTTGACTCCTATTACCAGGGTAATACGTGCTTTGTTCTACGGAACAGCTTTATTCAGGTTAAATGTGATAAATATGATTATATTACAATTTTTCGTCAAATGTAGCATTTTAGATATAACCAAGTTTTGTTAATGACACAGCTTAGCCATAGGTATCAATGTCGTTCAGTTATGGTCTGTGTTGTTGATTCCGTTTTCGCGGAGACTTGTATGGAATATTAACACACGTGGGGCTTTCAACCTGTGGTGGGTTATGCAGGTAGATACTTTCATGTCTGCGTTGGTTGCCCTTGCCTACCCTTGTCTTTCCCTTTCTCTTTCTCTCTTTATATGGCAACGTCTAAAGAAAATGCTGACTGGCTGACTAAATGCGTTGCTTGACCGAACAAACAAACTGGGTTTGTTATTGAAATTTATGCGCTTTAGTATATTTTTGAGGTATGTCCCTTGCAATGACGATCGCTTTTGTGTTTGTTAGCTTATTCTAACTGTTCTGCACTGTATCGTAAACGGCAGCGACGTCACAAGGGCAAAATATCATATTCGGGTGACGAATTATCCTCCGGTGACAGTGCTATAGTGATCAGTAACCACCGATCATTCTCAGATTTCTATATGCTGCACTCTATCGCAATACGAAGAAACATGTTACCGCATCTCAAGTATTTTGCAAAGGACTCGCTTAAATTTGTACGTGATGGTTATGATTATATCTAATAAATTATGACTCGGATTCTGGCCTTCAATATGATACTGACTCTTCCCATTCAATATAATTTTTAGATTCCGTTCTTTGGATGGGGGATGTGGGTGAGTCATATATATTGTTTGTCTATAAGACTTTGTTTGTAATAATCTTTATATCAATGATAATTACATATTACAGTTGATGGGAATGCTCTTTGTTACCAGAAATTGGACGCAAGACGAAGCAAAGATTGAAAGAATGTTTAAAACAATAAAGCGACATGAAGCACCTGTCTGGATTGTAAATTTCTTGGAGGGAACTAGAGCTACTCCGCAGAAGCTAAAAGATGTATGTATATCTAAAAAAAAGGGTGGATTTGACGAATACGTTAATTATCTTCCATGTAGTTATATGGTATTTTCTACAATTAGAGTCAAGAATATGCCCGAAAGAACAATTTAACTATATTGGAAAATTTGCTCAATCCGCGAACGAAGGGGTTTGTTGCTTGTGTTCGACAGTTGCGGAATACTCATGTGAAATACGTGTACGGTAGGCAGCTGCACTTTATTATTTGTTCTTTGCAAAATTTCAAACGAACGAACACTGATCCTGACTACAATTAACCAATGCACACAGACTTCACTATAGCGTACAAAAATGAAAAGAAAACGGCAGATCTCCCATTGCCGCCAAATCTGATCCAAGTTCATGCGTATCCTGTTCTGTCACCCCCATGGTCTTTTCACGTCCATATTAAACGTTATGCAATTGAAGATCTGCCGAAGAATGAAGAAAAGCTTGTTGAATGGGTAAAGCGAGTTTTTGTAGACAAGGACAATTTGCTTGAAGAAATGAAAAAACATTGGACTAATGCAAAAGCATTAGGTAGAATTCGTACAGAACAGTATTTTACATAATATGATTCAAGTATCTTCGTTTACTATTTTTAACAATGCTGCTTCATGCTCTTTGACGTGAATAACAGCTTCATTTTGTATTGTCAGAAGTGATACCGCTTCTACTCACGCACGAGTCGCTCGTGCATCAACACCCTCATCATCACCAGCATATAAATATAGACATCAAAGACGTTAAGTTCTCGATGATACTTTAGTTTTCACCAATTCAAAACGAGTGTTTACTACATCAAGACATTCGATAGATTTTTAGTATCGTACCTTTTTTTTTTCTTGGTCGTGCAATAAATATTTGTTATTAATTAAGGTCCAATTTCCAACGTCCTCGCAAGCAAATATACGCACAGACATAACAATAAGAGTTTACGTCAAGCGATGATTAAAGAATAACTGCTTCCCGAGCAGAAAGGCCTGGTTCGTAGCGAAAATAGCCAATATGTGATTATTGATATTAATTGATATCGTATATTTCACCCGCTAATACCCGACGAGTCCACGTAGTTTTCCGAGAAGGTTATCCATTGTTTCCATACATAGGAAGCATACATGAATATTATTTAATTTACACGCGTACTGTCTATTATTTCCTTGCTGGTTTTTCACACTCGAATGCGCGATATCTCGTTAATTATATCCAAAGAAGGACTCAACCCTTTCTAAATTGAGGAACTCGATTAGCACTTTCAACAGAACAAAATTTATCACATGAACTGATTATTAGATTCATCACTAACTAACCTCTTCAAACCTTATCTATAATATCATACTGAATAGTTTAATATCTTCAGCATTCTGTTTTATTTGAAACGTGTAATACTTTCTGGGATTTTCCTTACTATCACCATAATAACGCATTATCCGACAAAGAAGCAAATGCAGCTAAGCATTTCCCGCTTATCACACAATACTTTTGTAAACTTTACTTTACATATTTCTATCGTCAAAGCACTCTGGGTTGCTAGTCTATAATTAAGCTTTACTAATAAATGGGATACTTTATCGCTAACAGCTTTTCCGTCAAATTTCGAATGCCATTTTGTTAATGAAAATTTAGGATCCAATTTGGTTCTTTTATCGTATAATTGTCTCAGATCGTTCCACAATGTTTCAAGGTCTGACGAGTAAATTTTGTTTGCTGACGGTTTTTTTATCAGTCGTAACTTTTTAGACTCAAGTAATGCGTCAGCACGATAGAGTTAGACTGGCAATTTACCAATAAACCAAGAACGAAGCCGATTAATACTCCAAGAATTTGTTTATAAATGTAAACATTCTTCGCAAAATGTTATTGATGAAAATTGTCAGATCTGTTTGCTTATCTTTATTTAACGATATTTATTGAGTTGTGGTTGATTTTGAGGTAAGTGACCAGTGTGATAATGCTTAAATAAACAAATGCGCGTTTCTGCGCATCAATTATCATTGGTCACTCTGCATACAATGAAAAAAATAGCAGCAATTGTGGAAAGATCTCGAATGTTCCTATATATACGTCGTTTATTAAGCCACGAACACGTTGAAGGCGTTTGAGGATGACGAGGACGGTGGGAAGTGGCTAAACGTGTTGAGGAGAAAAGAGGGGCTTAGCGACAGGGAAAAGGGATTGTTGGCTACGCTGGAGGCGGTAGTGCGGTTGGGGAAATTCACTACGTGCAGCCAGCAGTCAGCCAGGTAATGACTTTGTGACTCGGGCGTTGAGGACATAGAGTAGTGTGTACATAGGGTAGAGTAGCATAGTAGAATGGGTTGTAATGTAGTTTTATTGGGGAGTGGATTTTGTTCATAATGCTGTGCTGTATTCATAAAATATGCAAACGGTTGTTTATGAGGGAGCGTTTTGGGGACATGGAGCAGAGTGTTATGTTGGGGGATAAGAACTGCCATTCCAATTCTGATTTATTGGATTGCTGGTGATGCTTTACCAATCTAAATCAGAATCTGATTTTTTGGACTTCGACCAGTGAATAAACCTTTTAGAGAAAAGTTGTATCACTAAATAATATATTTAAAAAATTTTATATCTCCACACATATCCAAGATATTCTAGCAGACCTTTTTTTTAAAAAAAAAACGTATCAATGGTAGTTCTTTAAAAGTAAATAAAGGAAAACGTTATTTATTATGTCCAATAATTTAACAAAAAAATTTTGCAACGTATAAATTCGTCGATTTATTACTCAAAATATGTGCCTTAGTAAAAATTTTATCTTCATACAAGTGTAAGACATAACTCGATAGCTTAACTACAATTAATGATAGATTTCAGAATATTTGCATCATTACTTGCTGAGTAATTTAAATTTGATATAAATATCGTAGATTTTGGTTTCGTCGTCACATGTTCACTTTGTTTTGTTGCAGCACGCCCAATTACTATTAATATTATACACATAGCTGCCCACATGCTTTGAATAGTGCTATACAAATACAGAGAAAATGTCAGTGCGCATTATTATGTTTAAGGTATCGTGAAAGGGCTTTTACTGATCACCTGTTCATATTTTGGGGTCGGTCCCACTTGAATTCCAATATCCCTGTAAACCTATTACTGTATTAAGTAGTCGCTGCTGTTAAAACTCCATCTCGTTCTCCAATACCAACCGGTTTTGTGTTTTGAGTCTTGCTAGTGTCGAGTTGTCACTTTTGGAATGACAGTTGACAGTGGGTCAATAACTCACTCGGGAGTGTACGCAAAGCATTTATTGGAAATTCCGGAAGATCTTCTGGCGCTCATTCTTAACCATGTGTACAGCCTGTGCGTTGGAAATTGCAAAGGAAGCGATACATTTAGGGATGTCGCCAAGTTTATTCCGTACATTTATGTTTGCCGGCGTTTCGCTCAGTTAATCTTACCCAATATATGGCGGTACGTGCAAATAGTGCCAAACACTCGCAACGCTTACAATCTACACTTCGTTCGAGTCCTGCAGAAAGACAATCCCACTTTTTCCTACGGAAACTATTTAAAGACATTGGTGGTGAAATTTACCGCACATTTGGGCGATGAAAGATGTAAAAACTTACCAATAACGTCCTTGTTACGAGTCGTTGCCAAACATTGTCCTAACATTAAGCAGATTACATTTGAGGCGAGCGTATCACGTCCGAGTCAATATTCCGAGCACACTTTGGGATACAATGGTAGCTTTATAAATGAACACTTTGAATGGCATTTGGAACAAGCGTCGGCGTCACCCTGGCATCAATTTCAATCATTGTTCGAAACTGCGTTTACGCGAACTTGTCTGACTGAAGTAACACTCGTTTCTGATTTCGTACTTGTTGACGATAAATGCTTAATAGCACTTGCTCGGCATAATCGCAAAATTCAGACGCTCAGATTGTTCGGTGACCAGTTCACTAACGACGGGATAGTGACGGCTGTTGGTTTTATTGGTGACAGTCTCAAACAGTTAGAAATTGTCAATGAGATTCATGAATTTATTCCTAACGCGCCACTCGTAGAATTATGTATTGAACAAGTATTGTCTCATTGTACTAAACTCCAGCAGATTTATCTCACGGGAATAGAATACAAATCCGCAGACGAAATTATCAAAAAGGAAGAAAATGAATCCACCGATGCGCCATTAACTAATGGTTCTATAAAATCACCATCTGAAAATACATGTCCACTGGGTGTAATTCAAACTTGTGAAGTTGATCAAGTTACTTTGGAACGACTCTTCCAGCACACTAGCAAGCAAACCCTCGTCAAAGTGAACATTACCAGTTCTTTGGGAAGAATTAAATGGCAAAGATTTTTCGTTTCATCCATTTTACCGTTTGCAAGGGAAGGCATTCTCGAGGAAATGTCTATGATGGTGAAGGGATGTCGTACTCATCGTTTCAGTGAAAATACTCTCGATGCAAGGATTATAATGAGGAACATCGGGCATACTCTTCAGATTTCAGAAGATATCATAAATTCGCTGAAGACCAATTTGCATTGCTGGGATGTATCGGTGGGGAGAAAAGACGAGCAGACCTCAATTTCGGAACGGGTTGATTTCGTTGAAGAACGGGTGAATCTGATGCCAGCCGAGTTCGATGTTATTGTATAAATGACACAGTAGGACAATTTGTTTCATTATAACTTGTAATTATAGTTATGTTATCATTAAGGAATGATGAAGTGTAGGAATGATGAAGTATAAGTTGAGACGATAATGACGATATGAAGGGGGGACGAGAACAAAATTTTGTATGGATCGCGCTTCTACGTGAAAGAGAGGAGAGAGAGTGAGAGAAATAACGATTGCAAATGAAAAGATGAACAGGCACTAAGAATCCTTATATGATGGCTAAAAAAAGCCTGTGAAAATTCGCATGATAAAATGTTGCACCTATTCTCATCGAACAAGTTTTTTGAAACTTGCTCTGATGGCCATTACGTTTTAATTCTAAAATAATTATATAGTCAGACAACGTGACTGTCAATCAGTTCCGTTTTCTTCTGTTCTTGTATTTCAATAAGAGATGCGTATTGATATGTAAAGATTGATCCAATCAACTTCGTGTAAATAAACAGTAGATTGCTTTTCGATATGTAACTTAGTCATGTGACATGATTCCCAATTCTGATGATTATCATACAATTTCAGTATCCTGATCAGCTTGTCTATATTGCAGACGTTTTTTTTTACAATGATAGACAGTCTATTCGTATTAAACACAACGGGGTACTTTGAAGCTTTTGCTTGATTTAATTATCTTTGAATATGACACATAACTGACTCTTGCGATTGACTTTTTTTTTTCTTTTCTGTAAGAGCAGAAAAATCCTTATTGAGAAGCATTGGCGCGGGTTGATTAACAGACAAGTAGTCGATTATTTTAACGACCTAGTAACCAAAGTCGCCTCGCCTGAGGATGTGATTCCTGTGCTGTTCACACCAAAGTACCGCCTCGTACATATATATCGATATGGCCTTACGTTCCTAAGCCCAGTATCAAATGAAGGTAGGCAATAAAGCAAGAATGAGTTCCATGTAATTCGCCCTCGACTAATCATACAATTGGCTGTCACAAGTCGATGCGCTCTTGGTTATTGAGTTTCTTCATAGGATAGTGGACATTCTGCTTGAGTACTTGGGTGACGTTTCGGAATCATCGATAAAGGATAACTTTGATGTTGTATACCAGGTTTGGATTTTCAATGGCGTTTCCCAAATATAAACACTCTCTTGCTTGCCATGCCCATTTGACGTATTTATTCATTTGCATAGCTTTTGGAAGAAATGATGGACTATGGTATAATCTCACGATCCATTGTATTTGTCATGCATTCTCAAAAATTATTTGACCACTCATGATTCCCTCTTTCTAAAGGTTATCCGCTGACGACCGAGCCAAATGCATTAAAAGAGATGATACTTGCACCAACCATTATCAATAAAGTTATGAGTCAAGTAGCTGGTGTAGCTGGTGTAACTAGGTATTACATTTAAAAGTGGTTATGAATTAGATCCTCAATCTTTTTTTCAGTTCAATTTCCCTTGCCGTCAGTGTCTTTCTATTATTTGTCGCTGAAGTTTTATTTTAATATATTTGTTTACTTGAAAGTGTAGGTCATCATTTGCCAAACGGCAATTTGTCAACTATACCTTGGCGTAAGACCGGTGTTAAATACACTAATAATGAAATTTATTTTGATATTATTGAAGAAATCGATGCCATTGTCGACAGGTAAGTTGTAATGAGTGATAAATAATACGAACTCTCAAAATGTTCAGATAAATTTTGATAAATTTCTTGATTTCGCGCGTTCAGTAATGGCTCGATAGTATCGTCAGAGACACACGGGTCAATACAAGCCAATTGTCGATTGTCTGGTAATTATTCATTAAAGATTCGCAAATTTGTTCTCTTCCTTCTTGCCCAAGTTATGCAACACGCTTCTTATAAACTCACAATATATACACTAAAGGAATGCCGGATTTGACTCTAAGTTTTACCAATCCTCGTGTTTTGGACGACTGCAGTTTCCACCCTTGTGTTAGATATAACACATGGGAGAAGGACAAGCTGTTATCTTTTATACCTCCAGATGGGCATTTTCAATTAATGAGTTACAGGTGAGGAGATTCTAAGGTAAAAATGGGGATGGAGGTGGCATCGGGAGGGATAAGTGTAAATAAAAAGCCTGCTTTGATAATGAAAGGGAGAACTGTGAATGAACAAGAATAAGACAGTGAGATTGAACTTTATTTCGGAATGTAGAGTCAATATTCCTCAGAATTATGGCTTGCCCGTATTCGTAAAGCCACAAATACAAGTTGGAACGAATGGAGGTATATATATATTTTTTATTTCATTAACACGATGATATTATGTTTCTTGCTAAGTTTTTTATCGATTTCCAACAGGAAAATTTGATATATCAGTAAGTCTCCGCAACACTGGCGGTAAAGCAGTAGAGAACATGCTTCTTGAGATTCCTTTGGGCGCGTCTGTTTCCAATATGTATGCGACTTGCAATATTGGATCGTATATATTCGACCCTGCAACTAAGGTACGTCGTAATCGATGCTGAATGGATGAATGTGTCTGCAATAAAATTAAATTTGGCGTTTACATGACACAGTGTGTACGTTGGGACATTGGGAAGATAAATCCGGTGGGGAGAACCCCACTATTGTCGGGTGATTTTAATACGGCGTAAGTGTTTTATTCAAAGCATATTATTTTATAGTTTATGCTATGTGTTGATTTATTTAAATAATTCTATCTAGTGAAGGATCGCCAGAAACTGGTCATCCCATCTCAGTACAATTTACTATAAACATGTACCCAGTCTCTGGATTAAAGGTTGACGCTTTGAAAGTTTACGTTGAAAGCTATAAACCATACAAAGTATTTGCAATTCTACTGTATGACTAGTTTACTTGTCTTTCTAAACAACAACAATTTTACTAAAATGAATTCATCATCATAGGGAGTACGGAGCTTAACCAAAGCAGGGAAGTTCCAGATTAGGACGTAATAACTTACCCTGATCCATTGCAAGGTTACAAAAGCGGGTGTAGTCACCACGCTCTTAATATAGACATTAGACATTCAGATGCAATATCATCCTGGTAAAGGTTTTATTAATTTATGATTGTACGCATTCATTTATACATCACCACATAAAAGAAGCAAACTTTCACATAGCTAATATTACAAATGACTTAGTAGTAATGCTACAGTTGATAAACTTTCAAAGTCAGCGCTCGCTTCTTTTTAATGATACATTTGGATGAAGAAACGTACAAAAGTATGTAGGCGTATAAAAAGAGCACGATTACTGAAACGGGTCGAGATAAGAATGATTTACAATTAAAATGTTTAGAGAGACCTTTGGCTCTTAAACAAAGACAATTAATTTCAAGAACAGGATTTGTTTGATTATACAGTCCCCCCGAAAAGTAATGGCGGGGTGTTTATTTTACAATGCAACTCATTTTGTGACACGATCAGCTGCCACT